ACAAAAGCATACAGCACATAGCCAGGTAAATGATAGTGGTGCTGATAACATTTCCTTTTTGATAGAGAAAAAGATCACAAAATCTCATAAGACTCACCCCTTAGATTCTAGTCAACAGTACTCCTGACAGTTATAGAGAATCTTAGAAATGCTAAAATATAAGATGTGGTTTTAAAAATAATGGGAGGAATCCTCTGCAGCCTCAACATTTCCAATCTACTCCACCCCCATCCTGTCCCCTGCTGGCCTTGGACCCAGGCCCACTCCAATTCCTCTGCCTCAGATCCTTGCACTAGCTTCCTAACCCAGACAAGCTAAGCCCCCTAGCATCGATTCCACTGGCTCCTCCTGATCTGTCTGACACAGCACAGCCCTCCTACTAGCCTGACTAGCCTACCTACTACCCTGTCCCACCAACTACCCAGAACAGTCCACTACCCTGTAAGAACCTGAAACACACAGCAATTTATTTTTCATGCCTGAGCAAAAAGTAACCAAGCTACATTAACAATTTAAACAAAACCAAAATTCATTTAAACAAAGGCAGAATAGAAGTTCTTACCAGACACATAACCAACAAAGAACATCCGTACGCCTAAACAGCAGCATAAAAGCACAAATATGACAAAACAGGAGACTATGTCCCCAACAAAACCCACCAGTCCTTCAGAGGCATACTATAATGAGAACCACCCTGAGGAACTGCAGGACGAAAAATTTAAAAGATCATAAATGTGATCAGAGAACTTAAAACACAAACAACTCAAAGAAGACAGGCATAAACTTGTGATGGAAGCCAAAGAATGTACAAATACACAGCGTAATGAAATAGCAAAAACAATCACTTGAAAAGTGATTTCACAAAGGAAACAGAAATACTAAAAAGTCAAACTGAAATGAACATGGAATTGAAAACTCAAAAAGCCAATTGGAAACAACAAGAGAAGTTTCACAAGCAGAATAAATGTAATGGAAGACAGAATATCAAGACTGGATGACAAAGTTGAAGATCTGGACTCCTTAAGCAAAGACTATGTAAACAACAACAACAACAAAACCAACCAAAAAACCCCACAGGAATGGAATACACAGGAAATGTGGGACAACATGAAAAGACCCAATCTACACGTCATAGGCATACAGGAAGGAGAAGAACCTCAGGCCAATGGCATTGACTAGATCTTCAACGGGATTATAGAAGAAAACTTCCCCACATTAAGGAAATACTTTACTATACAGATTCAAGAGGAACACAGAGCACCAATTAGACATGACCAAAACAGAAACTTGCCATGAAATATCATAGTAAAAACATTAAATGTACAGAAGAAAGAGAGGGTACTAAAAGCTGCTAGAGAAAAACAAAAAATTACATATAAAAGAAAACCCATCAGAATTACACGTGACTTTTCAATGCAAACTATGAAAGCTAGAAGAGCCTGGACCAAAGTATTCCTAGTTCTAAATGACCATGAATGCCCACCCCAAATACTTTACCCAGAAAAACTATCATAGTTGAAGGGAAATGGAAAATTTTCCATGACATGAATAGGCTGAAAGGATTCATGTCCACCAAACCAGCCCTAAAGAGAATACCCAAAGCAATACAAAGAATAGGAATGAGTATACCCAACAGGCTACAGAAAGAAAACAAAGATATAACAGAAACATAAAATAGGGTCACAAACACAAGGAAGTTAAAATGATAGCATCCAATACACATCTTTCGATAATAACACTAAATATCAATGGCTTCAACTCTTCTGCCAATAAACACAGGCTAACAGAATGGATCAACAGAGAAAACCCAGATTTTGTTGTCTTCAAGAAACTCATCTCACCTTCAAGGATAGACACTACCTTAGAGTGAAAGGATGGAAAAAATATTCCAAGAAAATGACCCTAAGAAGCAAGCAGGTGTTGCAATTATAACATCTGACAAAATAGACTTCAAATTAAAACTAATCATAAGAACATCAATGAAGAAGGTCACTTCATTCTAATCAAAGGAACAACTGCTCAAAAAGATATTACAATCATGAACATAGATGCACCAAACTCTGGTGCACCCAATTTCATAAAAACAGTACTCCAGGACTATGAAACACAGATTAACCTCAACTCAGCAATAGTAGGTGACTTCAATACCCCACTACCTTCAATAGATAGGTCAACTAGTCAAAGAATAAACAGAGACACATCTGAAGTAAATGACATCTTAAAATATTTTATTTATTATTTTTTATGTGTATGCGTGTATTGCCTGCATGTAAGTAAGTGCACCCATGTCATGCAATGCCCATGGGAGGCTGTCAGAGCCCCTGGAACTGGAGTTATGGACAGCTGTTAGCTACCATGTGGGTGCTGGGATTCAAACCTGGGTCTTCTGCAAGAACAGCCAGTGTTCTTAACCACTGAGCCATCTCTCCAGCCCCATAAATGACATGTTTTAATGAAATTTTTATTGAATTTTTGTGTATTTAATACAGAGAATCATCTTTATACCTTCTTCCCCTTGGCACTTTCCCGTAGCTTCCACCCCCCTCCCCACCGGAGTTCATACATTCTATCATTTGTGTTAAGGCCTATCATGTAAAGTTAGTGTCCCCAGATGTCCCTCAGTGTAAATTCATCAACTGGGATCTAGTCAGCCTATCTGGAGTTCTTCCCTGTAAGAAGATCAGCTCTTTCTCTCCCAGCAGTAATTAGCTGCCAATAATTCTTCGACTAAGATTGGGCCCTGTTGTTCATTTCCAAAGTTCTGTGCTGGGTTTTTGTCTGCTTGAGTTCGCATGGGTTTTGTGTATGCTGACACCATTGCTGTAGGTTTGCATGAGTCCAAGGAGCCTGTAGGACTATTTCCATTTGGTCATGCACCTCTTCCCTGGCTCTTACAATCCTTCTGCCCCCCTCTTCCAAAATGATCCCTGAGCCCTGGGTGGGTGACTTTTAATATAGGAGTCCTGTCCAAGGACCCACACTCTGCAGACTCGTATTCTCTGTGTTTTGGCCATTTGTGACATTTTGAGGTCCTGGTCCTCTGTTGCATGAGGGAGCTTCATTGATGAGAATTGTAAGATGCATTAGTGTTCTCTTCATCCCTTGTTCTGTGTTCCCTGAGCTTTAGGTGCAGAAGTTGCATTCTAGATGAGCCACTTAGGCTTGGGGAATTCACAGACAATCTCTGTGTGTGATCAGTTGTGGAACTCTGTAATTATCTCTGTTTCTTGAAAAAGAAGCTTCTTAGCTGGACATGGTGGCACATGCCTGTAATCCCAGCACTTGGGAGGCAGAGGTAGGTAGATCTCCGTGAGTTCAAGGCCAGCCTGGTCTATATAGTGAGTTCCAGCTGGGGCTACAGGGAGGCCCTGTTTCAAAAAGACCAAAAAAAAAAAAAAACCCAAAGGAAAGAAAGAAAAGGAAAGAAAAAGGAAGAAAGACACAGACGCTTCTTTGACGGTGCTGACTGGGACATTTGTCTATAGATTTAACGATCCAAAATTTCCACAGAGTAAGAAATTACGTTTGTCTAGGGATGTGATAGCCTTGGGGTTTTCTCTAAGACCTATGACTGCTCCAGCTATGTGTATTTGGCTATATTTACAGTACCACACATGAGTTTCCTTCCATTGAGTGGGATTTAAGTTCAATTAGGTAGTTGTTGATTACCCCCAAGATAAAAGTGCCAGTACTGCACCAATGTTGTTTGCTGTGCTGGTCATTGATGTGGTTTTTAGGCCTTGAAGCTGGGGTCAGATCATGGATTGATGTTCTCTCTCACCAGCTTGCCCAGTGCTCTCCAAAGCTATGAGAGCTAGCCTTCAGGGGAGGTGGCTTCCAGGTCAGCTCCAGCCCCGTTGCTCCAAATCCTGTGTCCAAAGTATGTCCTGTCTTCAGCAATGGGGTCTTACCATCAAGTTCTGGGAGGAAATCAAGGACTGTGGCAATAGCCCGTGTAATTTTGTAGTCTCTTGGACTACTCTGGCCAACAGCTCAAAGGAAGGTTTCTCCTCTCTGGCACTGTTTCTTGTTATGTAGCCTTCAGCTATACACATGGACTCATGTAGAGATATTGCATGTGTAATTTTTCAGTAGGTTTTTGGACTAATATGATTCCCTCTGGTTTTTTTATAGTAGCGAGGCACTTTTTATCACCTCTTTCTCTCCCTGTCTTATCCTCCCTCCCTGCCCTCCCCATTTAAAGTGTCCCCAATTTCCCCCTTTCTCCCTTGATAATTTTTGTCTGCTAATGTCCCACCTCTCTTGAGTTCCTCATTCCCCTTTATTCCCATAGTTCCTTGTATAGCCTTCCTTCTTCCCCTCCCCTTTAACTGCCCCCATTTTACCCATTTCTCCCTTAGTAACCCCTGTCGCCTACTATTCGTCTCTCTCGGGTTCCTTCTTTCCCTTTACCCCCTGCTTCCTTTCCATTTTCCTGGTTCCTGCAGTTACATCAGGATATGTACTCAGTTATAAGGATTTGGTCCTCAGATCCACAAATGAGGGAGAATATATGTTTTTTGTTTTTTGCAGTGTGTGTTACTTCACTTAGTATAACAGTCTAGTTCCATCCATTTATCTGCAAATTTCATTATTTCATCTTTCTTTACTGATGCTGAGTAGAACTCCATTGTGTAAATGTACCACATGGTTGTTAGCCACCTGTCAGTTGAGGGCCACTTAGGTTGCCTCCATCTCTTAGCTATTGTGAAAAGAGCAGCAACAAACATGGTTGTACAAGTGTCTCTGCAATAGGATGAGTCTTTTGGGTATATGCCAAGGAGTGGTATTACCGGGTCATATGGTAGGTTCATTTTTAGTATTTTAAAGAATTCTCCACACTGCTTGTCATAGGGGTTGCACAAGTTTGCAAGCCCACCAGCAGTGAATGAGCGTTCCCCTTTCCCCACATCCTTGCCAGCATTTGGTCATTTGTTTTCTTGAGCTTACCCAGTCTGACTGGGGTAAGATAAAATCTTTTTATTTCTTTTTTCTCCTTGGTGTGTTCAGAAGTGCCACTGCCATGAGCCTACAAAGGCCTTGCTCAACTTTGGCAGGGCTTCTATGATGCTCTGGTTCATAAGTGAAGCCTGGCAGATCACTGACTGACCAGCAGGGATTAAGATAGACCAAAGAAAAAAATCTTAAGGTGGCTTTAATTTGCATTTGCCTAATTACTAACGATGTTGAATACTTTTTAAGATGCTTCTTAGCCATCTTTATTTCTTCCTTTGAGAGTTCTATTTAGATCTTTAGCCCATCTTTTAATTGAGTCATTTGTTTTCTTGATTCTTTGTTTTTTCAGTTCTTTGTATATTCTGGATGTTAAACCTCTGCCAGATGTGTCACTGGTGAAGACTTTTTTTCCCCATTCTGTGCGTTTTCTCTTCACTTTCATGATTGTTTCTTTTGCTGTACAGAAGCTTTTTAGTTTAATGAGGTCCCACTTGTTGATTGTTGACCTTAATTCCTGAGCAACTGGTGTCCGATTTAGAAAGTCCTTTCCTACACCTGTATCTTGTAGGTTACTGCCAATGTTTTCTTCTAACAGTTTCAGAGTTTCGAGTTTCACATCGATCCATTTGGATTTGACTTTTGTGCAAGGTAAAAGATAAGGATCAAGTTTCATTCTGTGGAGATCCCAGTTTTTCTAGTGCCATTGGTTGAAGATGCTATCTTTCTTGGCACCTTTGTCAAATATCAGGTGGCTGAAATTGCATGTACTCATGCTTGGGTCTTCAATTATGTTCCATTGATCTGTGTGTCTATTTTTGTACCAGTACCATGCTATTTTTATGACTATAGCTCTGTAGTATACTTTGAGATTTGGTATAGTAATCCCCCCAGTGTTGCTCTTTGTGCTCAGGGTTGCCTTGGATATCCAGGGTCTTTTTTTTTTTCTTCCATATGAACTTACAGATATTTTTTTCTAATTCTGTGAAATATGTCATGGGGATTTTTATTGGAATTGCACTGAATCTATATGTTGCTTTTGGTAGGATGGTAATTTTCACAATATTAATTCTTTCAATCCATGAGCATGAGAGATCCTTCCATCTTCTGGTGTCTTCCTCAATCTCTTTCTTTAAGGTTTTAAATTTTTCATTCCATCCTTTTACCTTAAGGTAGTGTCTGTCCTTGAAGGTGAGATGGGTTTCTTGCAGATAGCAAAGAGATGGGTTTTGTTATGTAATCCATTCAATTAGCCTGTGTCTTTTGATTGGAGAGTTCAGTCCATTGATATTTAAGGGTATTATTGATACACAGACTGGGACCGGACCTAGTTTCCGTGGCAACCGTCAGTTGGCCACTGAGTGGGCGGCGTCTCTATGGTTTCTGCAGCCTAGAAGCACAGACTGGGACCGGACCTAGTTTCCGTGGCAACCGTCAGTTGGCCACTGAGTGGGCGGCGTCTCTATGGTTTCTGCAGCCTAGAAGGACCGAAACGCACTTCCGGAAGATGGCTGCGCCCAAGCAGGAGTGACATGTGCTTCCAGAGAGAGAACCCGGTACGGGCGGTAAGGGGCTTTCTTTCCTCAGGGCAGGAGCAGATGTGAAAACAGGAGAGTGGCCTCACCCTACTGACATTGGGGAAGGAGGGCTGGGATTTAGAACAGGAGGCAAAGGTGGCGGCCGGCTCTTTCGGCCCTTATAGGATGAGTGGCTCTGAAAACTGACTGGAGAGAAGGCAGTGCCTCAGATCTTTTCGTTTCTGTTCATGGCTATTGCTTGCAAGTCTGTTAAAATCGATTCCTCCTTGTGTCAGTTCACAGAAACACTGAACGTATTCTTGCTATATTTAAGTGTCAAGGGCTGTGACTAAAGCTTCAAGGTCGTGTGGTTTCAGATTATGTGACAAGGAATAGAATATGGGGAGCCTTACTGCAGAAAACACGAAGAGCTGCTTAAGGACTCCGTTTCCGAATTTCCTGACTACCAATCCTGGATCCACTACTTGCTAGCTATTTACTTTCAGCGAGTAAAACCTTCAGTGCCCGATTTCTCCTTTCTGTTTTTTTTTGTTGGTGGTTGTGGTGGTGGTGGTTTTTTGTTTGTTTTGTTTGTTCTTTTTGAGACAGGGTCTCCCTGCAGTCCCAGGTCCCTGGAACTTGCTACGTAGACCTGGATGCCTTGAACTCACAGAGATCCTCCAGTGTCTGCCTCCCAAGTGCTAGGATTAAAGGCGTGTGCCACCACGCCTGACTGATTTCTCCTTTCTAAATTATGGCTAGTTATCGCCTCCTAATAGGGTTTTTGACAGGATTAAGTTAGATGATCATATGGGGCAGTTAATAGGCTGGTGTTAAGTTACACTACAAGTTTAGAATATGATTGTTAAATCGGAGGTTAAGAGATCAAAAGTCATTTCTAAGAGGAGGAAGTTTTCAGGGGGCCTCTGTGTTTAAATTTTACTTGTGTTTCCATATCAAGAAGCAAGGCCACTTTTTCACTCAGTCTTTTTCTGTTGGTACACTCAAGTTTCAAGTATCATTGAGGCCTTATATAACCATCCTTTGCAGTGGAAACCTGAATGGAAATGGGATTCATCCTGAATGTGCACTTCTTTGTACTTAAGAAGACTGTGCATCATTCTTTTTTTTTTTCTTTAGGATTTTTGTGATTTATCAGCATATAGAAATTGGAGAATGCTTTTAGACACAAGGACACAGTCCATTGATGGAGTGTTAAAATCACCACATGTCTTGTAGCAGCTGGAAAACTATGCAGTCAGGAGAGGAAAGCTGGGCATGCCAGTGCACGCCTTTGATCATACATAGTGAGTTCCAGGCCAGCTGGGGCAACAAGGAGACCCTGTCTCAAAAACCAGGAAAAAAAAAAAAAAAAAAAAAAGGATGAGAGGGAAAAGGCAAATAAGGTGTTAAGATTTCTGTGAAAATAGTTTTGACCTCATGGGTCTCTGAAAAGGTCTCAACCCAAAGGAATCCTGGGCCACATTTTGATAATTTGTTAAATTATTTATTTATTTGAGATGGTCTCTCTGTATAGCTCTGACTGGCCTAGAAGTTGATATGTAGACCAGGCAGGCTTCAAACATAAAGATCCACCTGCTTCTGCCTCCCAAGTACTAGGATTAAAGGTGTGCATCACTACGCACGGCTGCCAGAACTATTGTTTTATAATAATATATGTCACAGCAGTAACGTCATCTCCTCTCATAGCGTTTAGTCATTCACTGATCTGTCAGCCACCAAGTGGGTGCTGGGAACTAGACCTAGGTATTCTGCAAGAGCAGTCAACACTTAATCAGTGAACCGGAGTTTCTGTTACTAGCTGATTAGTCGGCTAAGTTGTCTGGTTATCCAGCCTCAGAGATCTTCCCATCGCCATCTCCTCAGTGTTGGTATTACAAATGCATACCACTATGATGGCTTTTTAATGGGTGCTAGGGACCAACTTTTTATTTTTATTTACTTATTTTTATCCAGACTTCATCAGGCATTTTTCTTTTCTTTTCTTTTTTTTTCCAATTTTTAAATTTTATTTATTTTATTGGTCTTATTGAGACAGGGTCTCATTGTAGCCTAGATGGCCTGGAACTCACAATGAAGACCAGGCTGGCCTCGAACTCACAGAGATACGACAGCCTTTGTCTCCTGAGTGCTAGGATTGATTGCTAGGATTAAAGGTGTGTGCCATCACACCCGACTGTATGTCATCTTTTGGCAACTGTCTATTTCATTAGTTCATTTATTGATTAGGTTGTTTGATTTATTTTTGTTTTTTGTCATTTTGAGACAAGTTCTCCCTATAGCCCCAGCTGAGACATCCCTCCAGCCCCTAAATAATATCTGTTGTTCTTTGAAAGTTTCATGCACCTAGCCAGGTTTGTTGGTACGTGCCTTTAATTTCAGCATTTAGGAGGCAGAGGTAAGTGGATCTGTGTGAGTTCCAGGCCAGACTGGTCTACTTAGTGAGTTCTAGGCTAATCAAGGCTACATAGTGAGACCCTGTCTAAAAAAAACAAATACATATTTATAGATTTGACTCTTTAGATTGCTTTTGTATTATAGTCACTTCCATAATACTAACTCTTCCAATCCAGGAATATGGGAGATCTTCCTGTCTTCTGTAGTGTTTTGACATCTGTTTTGTTTTGTTTTGGAGGTACAGGGTCCTGTAGCCTCAGCTGACCTAGAACTGGCTATGTAAACCAGGCTGGCTTCACTCTCACAGGGACCAGCCTGCTTCTACCTCCCCAGTGTTGGGATTAAAGGTATGTGTCCTCCTTGGGGCTAGACAGATGGCTCAGTGATTAAGAACACTGGTTGTTCTTGCAGAAGACCCAGGTTCAAATCCCAGCATCCACATGGCAGCTAACAACTGTCCTAACTCCATTCCCAGGGGATCCAGCAGCCTCTTATGACCCCCAAGGGCATTGCATGACATGGGTGCACTTACCTACAAGCAGGCATTACACATACACACATAAAATAAAAATAATAAAATTTTTAAAAAAGGTATGTGTCCTCACTCCCAGCTTATTTTATTTGCTTTATTGTTTTATTTTGTTTTTTTCTATTTTATTATTTTTTTATTTTATGTGTATGAGTATATTGCCTGCACGTATGTAAGTGCACCTATGTCATGCAGTAGCCTCAGAGGTTAGAAAAGTATGTTGGATCCCCTGGAACTGGAATTACAGACGGTTGTTAGCCACCATGTCGGTGCTGGGAATTGAACCAGGGTCCTCTGCAAGAGGAGGTGGTGCTCTTAACTGCTGAGCCATCTCCCCAGCCCCCTTGTTTTGTTATTGTAGACCAGACTGCCCTTGAACTCACAGAGATCCTCCTGCCTCCACCTCCCAGATGCTGGAATTAAAGATCTGACTTCATTTATTTTTTGAAGTGGGGGCATATATTCCAGTCTGGCCTCAAACACCTCATGTAGTCAAGGGTAACTTTGAACTCTGACTCTGGATACTGAGTATCTTCCAAGTGCTGGGATTACAGGTGTGTACCACCATACCCAGTTTATGTTTCTGGGGATGGAACCCAGGACTTCATACATACTAGTTAAGCATTCCGTCAGCTAATTTACATTCCCAGTTCTTAGCTACTGATTTTTGTATGTTCATTTTGTATCATGCCACTTTGCTGAAACTGTTTATTAGATCTAAGAGTATTCTAGTGGAGTCTTTAGCATCTTGTGGATGTGTGCACATGTCCACCTGTGCACATGTGTGCATGTTGGAGGCCAGAGATTGATGTTGGGGTATTTGGCCTCAATCCCGCCCCACCTTTTTTTTTTTTAAATGTTTTTTAAGATTTACTTTACTTTTTATTTCTATGTGCCTGTGTGAAAGAGTGAGTGTGTTTGTATGTGTATGTGTGTACATGTGTATGCACATGTGCAGATCCCCTTGGAGACCAGAAGAGGGTGTTGAATCCCTTTGAGCTGGAGTTACAGGTAGTTGTGAGCGGCCTCATGTAGATGCTGAGAACCAAACTCCACTCCTCATGACAGAGCAGCAAGCACTTTTAACCACTGAGTCATCTCCAGCCCTATCCACCTAATCTTTTGAGATAGGGTCTCTCACTGAACCTAGAGCTCACTGGTTTAGCTAAGCTGTCTGGCCCTCAAGTTCTTGGGGCCTGCCTGCCTCCATCTCCCCAGTGCTAGCATTACATGCACACACCTGTATGCCTGGCTTTTTACAAGAGTGTTGGGATCATTGAACAGGTTTTCATGCTTGTGTGGCAAGCACTTTACCAGCTGAGCCATCTCTACAGTCTCTAGGGACTCTTACGGATAACATTCTACCATCTGCAAATAAGGATACTTTGTGACTTCGTCCTTTCCTTTTATTGTTTGTATTTTTTATTTCCCTCTTGTCTTACTGCTGTCCTTCACCTCAGACTTCAAGCACTATATTGAATAAGAGTGGAGAAAGTGGAAAACTTTGTTTTGTTCCTTATTTTAGTGGAAATGCTTTCAATTTTTCCCCACTTAGTATAATGTTGGGTTTAGGTTTGTCTTATATAGCCTTTGTTATGTTGAGATATGTTCTTACATTTCTAGTTTTCTTCAGGTTTTTTTTTTTTTTATCATGACGTGATGTTGGATTTTATCTAAATACTGCACCTATTGGGATGATTATATAGGATTTCTGTCCTTAGGTCCATTTATGTGATGTATTACATTTATTGATTTGTGTTTGCTGAATTATCTCTTCATCTTTGTAATAAAGCGGACTTGATCGTGGTGGACGATCTTTTTGATGTGTTTGTTCTTGAATTGTTTGCTAGTGTTTTTGAGATTTATTTCATGTGTATGAGTGTTTTGTGTGCATGTATCTAAATACACCACATGCATGCAATGGCCAGAAGAGGGTGCTGGATCACCTAGAACAGGAGTTACACACGATTCTTAGCTGCCATGTCCAGGTATCTGTCTCTCTCTTTAAAAGATTTTATTTTTAGGCCAATGTAGTGGTATACACCTTTAATCCCAGCACTTGGGAGGGCAGTAGATTCTGAGATCAAGGCCAGCCTTGTCTCCATAGTGAGTTCCAGGCCAGTTGGGGCTACAGGGATATCCTGCGTCAAACAAAAACTAAAAGAACAAGAAAAAAGACTTTATGTGTGTGTCTGTATGTGCACTTGCATGTAGGTGCCTGATGTCCACAGAGGCCAGAAGAGGTGTCAGATCTCCTACAGCTGGAGTTAGGCAGTGGAGCCACCAGATATGGGTGCTGGGAATTGGACTCTGGTCCTCTGAAAGAGCAGCAAGCACTCTTAACCACTGAACCACTGCTCCAGCCCCAAGTACGAGTATCTCATAGACAGGTTACCAAACATCTCACAGCTTTTTTTAAAAAAAACAAAAAAAAAACAAAAAAAAAACAGGTAATACATTTGGGGAGATGTTACAAACTACAGACAAGCTGCCTGGTTTAAATTCACCATAGATTAGGTGTGTGACTTCCAGCAAGCTACCATATTACCTTTCCTGTTGCTATGATAAAATACCCTGACAAAAACAACTTAAGGAAGGAATCACTTATTTTGGCTCACAGTTTGAGGGTTGAGTTCATCATGGCAGGGAAGTCACAGTGGCAGGAGCTTGAGGCAGCTGGGCACTTTGCATCCAGTCAGGAAGCAGAGAGTGCTCAGCTACTGTTTTCCTTAAAATAATTTTTTTACATTTTATTTAATGTGTGTGTGTCTGGACAGGGCATGTACCCACAGCACAGGTGTGGGGTCCAAAGATAGCCCATGGGAGTCAATTCTCTCCTACCTTGTGGGCTTCTGGGAACATCAGGCTTGGCAGCAAGCACCCTTACCCACTGGACCATCTCCCTGGCTCTAGCTTTCTGCAGTTTAGGACCTAAACCCAGCAAATGGTGTCACCCTCTGTGAGGTCTTCCTGCCTTAGTTAACCTAATCTAAATAATCCCTCATGGGTGTGCCTGGAGGTTTGCCTTCTAGGCGATTCCTGAGCCTGTCAAGTTGACAGTCAACACCACCAGGACACCTAACCTTTTTAAGACTTGGCTTCATTTGTGACTGGAGCAGGGTGAGAAGGCTGAATGAAATAGTCTACATTAAGGCCTTGGTACAGCCTGTTACTAAATATTTAGGCAACACTATTAATGTCAGTCTTCCTCCATTCTGAGATAGTGGCACTTTTGACCATACAGGGGAGTCCCCAAAGAGCAGGCCTCCTCCTGGTGTCTTCCCCAGTGCTAAAGAAAAAGGGCTCTTACACAAGCAGTTGGGATACTTCAGGCATGACACAGGATTTCATATATCAGGCTGGCCTTGAACTCAGTATATAGTCAAGGATGATCTTGAATCCTGATCTTCTTACCTCTGCTTCCTAAGTGCTGGAATTACAGGCATGTACCACCACACCTGATTTATGCAGTGTTGGGAGATCAAATCCAGGGACTCAAGCTTTCTACCTACTGAGCTACAAACCTCAGCCCACTTATTCCTTTTTTTTTAAAAAAAAATGTCTTTTTGGGGGCTGCTGGGCGTGGTGGCGCACGCCTTTAATCCCAGCACTCGGGAGGCAGAGGCAGGCGGATCTGTGTGAGTTCAAAGCCAGCCTGGTCTACATAGTGAGTTCCAGGACAGCTGGGGCTACAGGGAGACCCTGTCTCAAAAAGACCAAAAAAAAGTTTTTATATTTCTTTTTTAATTATGTAACTATGTGAGTCTGTGCACTTGTGAGTGCAGATGTCCATGGAGTCCAGAAGAGGGTGTCAGATGCCATGGAATCGGAGTTACAGGTGGTTGTGAGCCACCAGATGTGGGTGCTGGGAACAGAACTCAGATCCTCTATAAGAGCAAGTGCTCTTAACTGCTGAGCCATATCTATAGCCACCATCCCCCACCCCCTTTACTTTGAGACCAGGTCTCGTGTAGCACATACTAGCCTCAACTTTGCTATACAGTTGAGGATGACAGGAATTTCTGATTCTCCTACCTCCATCTTCCAAGTACTAGATTACAGTTACGTGTTCTCATGCCTGATGTTACATGGTACTGGGGACTGAAACCAGGGCTTAGTGTATACTAGACAAGCTTTCTGCCATCTGACTCCCAGCCCTCTCCTTCCCTCTTCAAAGATGATGCTGTATCTTCTTCCCTCCTGAGAGCCTGAGGACAAAGCCTCTTTGCCCACCATGAGTGTCACCCCAGAGATCAAGAGTCATGGGATGAAGTTTGCTGAAGAGCAGCTGCTAAAGCATGGATGGACTCGGGGTGATCTTAGGGCCTCCTCATATCCTCCCTACTCTACCTCTCCTCTGCCCCCTGTGCCAGTTCAGCCAGAGAAGCTAGTTTATAAAGAAACCTTCAGACGATCAGTTTTCTAACTTATCCAGAAAAGGGAATGGGAGAAATTCCCACTGTTGGATGAAGGATAATGAGGAACAAGTGGTTGGGAAGACTGGGGAAGGCAAATAAGAGACAATATATGACAGCAGAGCTAATTCAGGCTCAGTCAGAGACTGCATGGGGTAGTACTGCCAAGCATGGAGTGAGGTAGTTTTCTGAAAGGCACAGAGTATACCCAGTGCTAAGTATGTGAAATGGCAAGGAACAGTAGGTGGCTCAGAGGGTTTGGTGAGGGCTCAGGGCAGGCTGCAAAATACACCAAGTCACTCACTGTCCTCTGCAGGGAAGGGCCTGGGCCTGAAGGAGAATGGTATTACCCAGGCCCTCAAGGTGACACTGAAGCAAGATACTCATGGGGTAAGACTGGGAGGCTGGTCAGCATGAATGGGAGAAGGGGACCTATGAAGGCAAGTGGACAGGTGCTCAGACCTCAGCTCATATTTATTATTCCCCTGGCAGGTGGGACATGACCCTGCCAAGGAATTTACAAACCACTGGTGGAGTGAACTCTTCAACAAGACTGCAGCCAACTTGATAGTAGACACAGGGGAGGTATGAGCTTGTTGGGCAGGTGCCTGGGATGGGTGGAGGGAGGCATTGTATGCCACTTATTCACTGACACTTTCCAACAGGATGGTGTACAAATACGACACCTTTCTAAGGAGACCAAGAGGCAAAACCGCTCCAAACCCAATTTGCTGTATCAAAAGTTTGTGAAGGTACTAGACACTGGGGTGAGAGATCCAACTCCTTACTGCTTTCCTGTTTCCCCTGAGTCCTGATCAGTTGCCTTGTGACAATGCCCAACTAATTCTCAGGAGTATCCTAACGCGTCGAGATCCTGGGTCTAACCTTGCTGTACTTAGACTAATGCCTGGCCCCTCACCAAGCACTAAGATGTTAAGGTTCCACAGACCCTGCCACCTGCCGAGGAAGCAGCACTTGGGAGTGGGAGGAAGGACAGTCATTCATGGACAGTCATTCATTTAGGAGCTGATGGGGGAAGAATGTGTGGATGTCTTAATTCAGAAGATTTGGAACCCAGAGGAGTCCAGAGAGGTTACCTAGTCTTCTTATATATGTGGCCAAAAAAGTGAAAAAAAAAATGGGTTGCTAAGGCCACAGCTGGCTAGCAAAGACAAACAGGCCTTCTGGCTTCTACTTTTACTAAAGCAATAGATGAGAAATAGCAATTAATGAGCATCTACTATGTGCTAAGGGCTTAAAAGTTATCGAGCAAGTCCTCCCCAGATGACTGAAAGAGTCATCTACTCTTTCAGTTCAGGCTGTCACTCTTTCTTTTTTTATTTATTTTTCTTTTTAACTTTTAAAAAATGTTTATTTTTTGTTATTTTATGTGTATGCGTGTATTGCCTGCATGTAGATAAGTGCACCCATATCGTGCAAGGCCCGCAGACGTCATAAGAAGCTGTCGGATCCCCTGGGACTGGAGTTATGGATGGTTATTAGCTGTCCTGTGGGTGCTGGGATTCAAACCTGGGTCTTCTGCAAGAACAACCAGTGCCCTTAACCACTGAGCCATCTCTTCAGCTCCTATTTATTTTTCTTTTATGTGTATGAGTATAATGCTTGCATGTATGTTAAGTACACCTGCATAGTACAGTGTCCTCAGAGGACAGAAGAGGGCATCAGATCCCCTGGGACTGGAGTTATGGATGGTTATTAGCTGTCCTGTGGGTGTTGGGATTCAAACCTGGGTCTTCTGCAAGAACAGCCAGTGCCCTTAACCACTGAGCCATCTCTAGAGCCCCCATGTCACTCCTTTTTAAGAGCCTTCTTGCCTCTAGTCTCACTCCCCATCCATCAGGTGACCTTCCTAGGGTTATCTCTGAAAGATATATTGCATCATTATGTCACTGGCTCCTCTTTGACCTAGAGTGATGGCCAGATTTATCCTGCACATGCTCTTTCCTCTGCCTGACATTCTTCCTTTGCCCTTTTACCTACTAGCCATTTCTTGACATCCAGATTCAGTTTACACATATGCAACTTCTAGAAACCACTATTCAAATCCTGTCTGAGTTGTTTATAGGGTAACTGGTCCACGTTTTACTGTACTCCATTCCCAAACATGTAGTTCATCCAGGCTAGGCCCATCTCATTTTTTCCATGTACATGATGAATGCTTGCGTATGCATGTTCACATATGTGTGGTGGAGGCCAAAGGTTGATGTCAGGTGTCTTCCCTGATTGCTTTCCACTTTATAGACATTAAGACAGGGCCTTTCACTGAGCATGGTGGCGCACACCTTTAATCCCAGTACTTGGGAGGTAGAGGCAGGAGGATCTCTGTGTTTGAGGCCAGCCTGATCTGTATAGTGAGTTCCAGGCCACCAGGGGCTACATAGTGAGACTATCAAAAAACAAAACAAAACAGGGCCTCTCACTTGAACCTAGAGCTTGCCAATTTGGCTAATCTAAATAGTCAGCTTCCTGGGATCCCATCTCCATTTTCCACATGCTGGATTAGAGGTGAACCACCATACCTGTTCATGTGGGTGCAGGAGATCCAAACTTAGGTCCTCATGCTTACATAGCAAGTGCTGAGCCATCTCCACAGCCCTGAACCCATTTCATTCTCATTCTCCTCTTATCCTGAGCTATTTAGTCCATAGTAGATTCTGTTAATCTAGTTGAACAAAAGTACTGGGACTAAGAGTTTCTACCTTTTTTGTCAGTCATTAGAGCCCATCCCACTATGAAAACCTGCCTCAGGGTACTTCCTTTCTGCTTGTTCTACACACCAGGTAGGTGTGAGCCAGACAGCCCTAGATGATCCACTTTCCAATAACTGCAGCCTACCTTCTGCCCAAAGTATGTAGGCTATCACCCCTTTCCATGGCCCTGCAAGGAACCATGTGGGGGCTGGCAGATTCATGCCTGGGGCTCTAAGTTCCTGGGTTCTCTGAAAGAAAGGAGAGCTGTAATGGTAGTTAGTTGGCTTCATCCATCCCCACTGTCCTTCTTTCTAGATGGCCACACTAACCTCAGGGGAAGAGAAGCCAGACAGAGACTTGGAGAGCTACAGTGATGAGGACACCCAGGGACCCGTACCTCCAAAGATGTAAGACTGCATTCTGGCTCTGAGGGCTTGTGAGAGGAAATGCCTTGGGATTGTTAAGAGAATGAATGACTAAATCGAGTGCTTGACTAGGTTTGGAGGTGTTAATTAGACTGTATTAATCTTTGTATCTGTATCCCTAGCACTTCAAAAATGCCAGGTCTTGAATAAAAAATATTGAAGAAACATTCTAGACAGGAAAAAAAAAAATTTCAAGCCTTCTCACCTTATCTGTTTATAATCTGTCGTTTGCCCTTACAGTCTGACTGATGAGATGCTACTTGAAGCTTGTGAGGGGCGAACAGCACACAAGTAAGTTGTGGTTACCTGCTGGGCTTCCTTCTTTTCTGCCCAGGCTCGAGGCCAGCCTGTGCCAACTGTCAATTATTTTCATCTGCAAGAAATAGTTCTTGATGTTGACCCATCCATTCCTGAAGTCAAGCAGCTCCCTGTTCCCCATTCCCAACTTTCTCTGTAGGCCTAAGATTAGGCCTATCCCAGTACCCTTCTAACTTGGACCCCATCTGTCTCAGGGCTGCCCGGACTGGAATCACAATGAAGGCTAAGCTTGCTCGCCTAGAGGCCCAAGAGCAGGCCTTCCTGGCTCATCTCAAAGGCCAGGACCTAGAAACTTCTCAATTACAGAATGAGAGCAAACCTACCCAAAAAAAGAAAAAGAAAAGGAAGCAAAAAGAAGCAGAAGCAGCAGCAGCTACAGCAATGGAAGAGAATATAGGTGAGGAGCATCTAGAATACACTGACCAGAACTTCAAGAAAAGCAGGAAGAAAAGGCAACAGCTAGAAGAGAGAGAGGGAACAGCTATAGGGAGTGGGGAGGAAGAGGCTGCTGGAGTGAACGGGCCTGGGGAAGTGAAGAACAGAGAACAATCTGATCAGTCCCTGAGGAGAAGGAAGAAAAAGAAGAGGCAGCACTGTGAAGAGGAAGGAGAGGAGATAGATACCTGTGAGAAAGGAAAAGGCAGCAGGATGACAGGCAGGTCAGAGGTGGACAGCAGAGCAGGCACAGAGCCGCACAGCAGAAGCAAGAAGCGACAACAGCAAAGGGAAGCCTTGAACATACAGGACGAAGAAAGGACAGATGACCTAACTAAAGCAGAGAGAACAGGCAGGGGAAGAAAGAAGAAAAGACATGTTCTCAATTATGTAAGTGATAAATGTGATGATGGCAGAACCTGGGAAGGAGAGCATGAAGATAAGAGAGGTCAGTCACATCCAAAAGAGAGAGCCAGTGTCATCACTGACCAAAGAGCCAAAAAGAAGAAACAGAAGAGAGATTGAAGGTCTAGTCAGGGCTGTCAGTCTTTTTCAGTGATAGCCTGGGTCAGGGCAGAACTTCTACATACCCCTCAGCATGAGTCTCTTCCAAGGAGAAAGCAACTCTGTAACACTAATCTGCTCAGGAGAGCCAAGGCACTGTGTCTTAGCTGAGGGAGAGTTCAAGGTCCCTGTATAACTTCCTATCCAAAGAGTATGAACCCTGTTGCCTCCAGGAGCCCAGCAAAGTGAAAAGGTGTGCTGAAAATGTGGAAAAACGCATGCAGATAGTGTAGTCTGCATTTGAAGGCATGTCACTGCTAAAAGAAACTGAAAATACAAACTTATGTGAAATGTCTTGATTTTAAAATAGTGTGAAGGGGGCTGCAGAGATGGTTCAGCAGCTGCTGAGAAATGGCTCACTGGCTGCTTTTTTTTTGTTTTTGTTTTTTTTTTTGAGACAGGGTCTCCCTGTAGTCACAGCTGGCCTTGAACTCACAGAGATCCGCCTGCCTCTGCCTCCCAAGTGCTGGGATTAAAGGCATGCGCCACCACACCTGGCTCTCAAGCACTGGCTGCTTTTACAGAGGACCCAGGTTTGATTCCCAGCACCCACATGGTGGCTAACAACAGTCCATAACTCCAGTTCCAGGGGATCAAACACCCTCTTCTGACCTCTGCAGGTTTGCATGACACTGGTACACTTATACACATGCAGGCAATACACTCATATACATAAAATATTTTCAAAAATTAAAAAAAATATGTGGTGTGAAGGCTAAGAAGCATAGATTTATATGTTCAGGCTCGGGTCAGTTCCCAGGCAGCCCATTTCAAATCATGAGTAAATCCATTACATGAACTTGGGCCCCAAGCCTAGAGGTTATTCTCAATTGCCATCACCATTCTCAGCCTGGGAAGGTCTGAACACAAATCAGTTGTCCTTGGAGACCTTTGAAGATATTCTTTCTGCTAATAACCTGGAGTCTTGCTATAATGGTAAGTCAAATTAGCTTAGAGATGTCATCCACCTGTCTATCACAAATAGCTAAGAATCATTCCTGTGTGACGGCCTGACTTGGTGTTTGAGTTTTCATTTCTTAAATGCTTAGTTCCTGCAGAGAAAGCATCACCCACTAATAATGACTATGGCCAGAAGACTCCAGTTTCAAGAGAGAAGGCACCAAGTCTTTATTGGGAAACCTGCCTACCCACCTGTCTCAGTGCAAACGGTAGACACACTCTGTGTCAGGGTAGGATGGCAGGTTCAGCTGGTACTTCTTTTCCAAAGCAGGTGGTACAAAACGACCCCCCAAGTAATGATAGCGGCCAGTAAACTGGACTGCAGACTTCTTGGGTGCTGTCAGTGAGATGAGTAGGTCTGGTTGGATTCCGCCAGGGTTTCCCTTCTCCACATCCCATCCTGAAGAGAGAAAGCAATATGGAGGAAGTATAGAAGGCCTAGCCCTAAAGGAGAGGGAATCATCTCAGTGACCACTTGAGGTACTCTTAGGAGTCCCATGTACATGGGTTTCTCCAGGGAACCAGCATGACCTCTCTGCTCCCTAGCCCTAATGTGGAACCTGGAAAGCTATATTCTGCCTTCTTAGACTCAAATTATTTTAGACATGGTCCCCTAGGTGCCAGCCTTGAGACAGGGGAGAGCCCCAGTCCCCCAACCTTCTGGGTTCCAGCACCTGAGGGAATGTCGATGCTAGCGATGGGCACAGTCAGGGCACTCAGGACACTAAGGATGCTGTGGAATGGCTCCCGAACATCACCCTTGAAGCTGAAGCCAAAGATGGCATCCACCACCAGCTCATACAGCTCATCAACCATCATGGGCTGCGGGGGAGCAAGAAAAGGAGAGAACATCAAGAGTTGGCTGCCGCACTGGGGAGGGCCATCACCTGCATTTGCAGATCACAGAAGCATGGATATAATTATTTCCTAAAGGAAGAGATGGTGACTAATTCAGGTCAGTCTGAATCCAGACATTTTCTGTTCTGAGTGCCTATTGGGTACACTGGATGCGGGGTTCAGGGGCGGGGGGCAGCCTGAGACTAAAAGTCTGAAGGGACCAATTCTGGTCTCAGCTTTACCTTGATCCAGTTCTCTGATTGAGGCAAACTATTTTTCTGCACCTCAGTATCTTCATTTGCACAATAACTTTTTTCCTATCTTTTTGAGGCTGGGTCTCTCTGTAACCCCTGCTGGCCTGGAAGTTGCTCTGTAGACCAGGCTGGCCTCGAACTCACAGAAATCTACCTGCCTCTGCCTCCTAAGTGCTGGGATTAAAGGCATGCACCTGGCACTAAATTTAACTTTTTAAATCTCAAATTTCTACCCCTAAATTCACACATCTACAGAAAAGGTTAAGGATTGTGGCAGTCCCTCTGAGGGGATCAGTGATCACTGCATGCTACAGAAGACATCTGACTGCAGAATGGAAGGAGTGCCTGGAAAAGGGCACATTACAGCTTCTAGTGTCGGGAACACATGGAGCACACCTTATGAAGGAGGCTCTTCCACCACACCTATTCAGAGAGCACCTAGACACCTTTTGTGGCAGGCAGCAGGCACTAGACAGGCCAGGTGGGTCTGAAACCGTGAAGGAAAAGTAGGGCAGAGGCAGTACTTACTGGAGAGAAGGGATATCACAAGCCACCTACCTCTGGGGGCATTTCACCAAGGAAAGGAATGTCCATTTTTTGACACTGAGTCACAAGTCCAGTGAAGAGTGGTTTGTTCGGTCTTTTGGGGTAATAGATAGTTGGCTGGTAGCCCTAGTTGAAAACGGAAGTGATCAATCTCTAATCCCAGAATCCTCATACCTTCCCCCAAAGCCTCTGACACCGTACTCACAAAGAGTTTGAGGTGTCGCGCGCACACCAGGCCATCTCCTCCGTTATTCCCGGGGCCACAGATGACCAAGACGGCAGCGGGGCTCTTGGACATGGACGTAGGGGGATATGCCTGAAAGCAGAGACGCAAAGGGTCAGGGAAGCCCTTGGACTTCCAGGGACCTCCCCAAAGGCACCTCCCAAAGTTATGCCACCTACCTTGGCAATGGCTGTGGCACAGCTCAGCCCAGCCAACTCCATAAGTTGGTCCACGCTGAACTGGTACTCGTTAAATAGCTCCTGGTCTACGGCCTGGGCTTCCTCCTGGCTGAGGGAAGTTCTGGTCTGAGTGCCCGCCTGCCTGGTCCCAGCCGCCCAGGCACCCACGTCCTGCCCTCCCGCGCGCCGTCGTACCTCAGGTACTTCACTGCGACGCTTGCCATGGCCTCGGAACTCCCGCCGCCACCCGAGCTCAGATGCTGCGTTCCCCACCAGGTAGGTCCCGCGCGGCAGACACCCGCCCGGCCTGCGACCCGGGGAAGGCGCGAGCCGGCGACCAGCAGCCCGAACCCCAGCAGCGCCCGCAGGCCGGACATTCAGCCCTCCGGGCGCCGTCACCCGAGCGCATGCGCGGATCCCGCCCCGCTCAGGCGCGGTTTACTGCAAGCCCTAGGTTCCGATGCCCATCCTGCCGGGAGTTCCGTGCACCTTCCGTTCCTATCTGCAATCTAGCCCTTCCCCGGAGTATTTACTAGTGACCCATACGTCTGGATCCCTCCCAACCGTCCTACGGTAGTAATTATGGTTTTGTAGCGAGGCTGTATTCTACAGCAGCTGGCCTGCGCTCCTGCCCCACCTCCTGACTAGCTGAGTGAACCTGGACCCTGCCGGCCCTAGTCTGGACTGCACACTCGGGATAGGAATACATATTTCATAGAGTAGTAGTGCTTGCAAGCCATCGCTGGGGCGGGGGTGCTGCCTGGTACATAAGTTAATGTTTACACTGCTAAGGAGTTCTACATAACTTAGGAACACTATCCACTGTATGTTTTTTCCTACTTTATTTAACCAGACTATCCTGCTGTACTTTCCCATGATAAGCTTTAAATAGATGATGCAAACTATAATTTAAAGTGTGATTAAAGCTAGGCGTGGTGGCGCACCGCTTTAGTCCCTACACTGGAGAGGCGGAGGCAGGCGGATCTCTATGAGTTCAAGGTCAGCCTGGTCTCCAAAATGAGTTCCAGGCCAGCTGGGGCTATAGGGAGACCCTGTCTCAAAAAGATCAAAATAAAATTAAATAAATATTAAAACTACAGATTTTGGGCCGACGAGATGGCCCAGTGGATAAAGGCACTTGCCACCAAGCCCAACAAGCTTGAATTCTGTCCCTGGGAACCCACATGAAGGTAGGAAAGAACTCCGTGAGTTAGTTCCCCTGACCCCCCCATGTGCTGACCTTGGCTCCCAGGCCCCCACACTAAATAACAGAACAAAACTCAGAGTCTAAATGACAACAAAATTCATTAGATACCTCGAGAGGAATACATTTTATTTAAGTACAACCCTTTCAGCCCCCATGCTAGACTCTGAACCCAGGGCCTTGCAATCTACCACTGAGCTGCAGCACCAGGACCTACCCAGGAATTTTTGAGGATGCAAATTCACTCTGCTCTGTGGTTAAGGAAGGATGGAGGGTAACAAATTAGTTACCACTAAGGCACCATTATGAAGGTACTTATTCAGACTGTTATAGGTTGATTTCCCCCAAATTCATGTGCTGAAGCCCTAAGTGCCAATGTGCTAGTATTTGGAGATGAGGCCTTTCAGAGGTGATTAGGATTAACTGAGGTCAAAAGGTCTGTGCCCTTGTCCTAATAAATGTGCCTCCTAATAAGTGTTCAAGTGTGCCCCCCCTTATTGGACCCTTACCATGTCTGCACTCTGATTTCAGATTTTCAGCCTCCAAAAGTATGAATGAAATTAATTCCTAGAGGCTGGGAATATAGCTCAGTTGGTATACTGTTTGCCTAGCATGCAGGAAGCCCTGGGTGCTTACCTAGTATGTACAGTCCCAAACACCAAATAAACTAGGTGTGGAGGTGAATGCCTGTAATCCCAACACTCAATGGTAGAGGCAAGAGGATCAGGAGTTTGAGGTCATCCTCTGCTACATAGATTGTTTGAGGTCAGACTAGGATACATGAGACCCTGCCTTAAAAAAAAGAACAGTTTGGGGTGTGGTGGCACACGCCTTTAATCCCAGCACTTGGGAGGCAGAGGCAGGCGGATCTCTGGGAGTTCAAGGCCAGCCTGGTCTACATAGTGTGTTCCAGGACAGCTGGGGCTACAGGGAGACCCTGCCTCAAAAAAAAAAAAAAGACAAAAAAAAATTTTAAAAAGAACTTTTAGGAGCTGGAGAGATGGCTCAGTGGTTAAGAGTACTAGCTGTTCTTGCAGAAGGCCTGGGTTCAAATCCCAGCACCTACATGGTTGCTAACAACCATCCATAACTCCAGTTCTAGGTAATCTGACACCTTCTTCTGTTCTCCAAAGGCATTGCAGGACACTGGTACACTTACACAAATGTAGGCATAACACTCATACACATAAAATTAAAACAAAAAAAAATTTAAATTAATTTCTAGGGTCTGAAGAGATGGCTCAGTAGTTAAGAGCACTTCCTGCTCTTGCAAAGGACCTGGATTCAGTTGCCAACACCTACATGGTGGCTAACAACCAGTTCTAGTTTCAGGGGATTATGATACCGTTGATGCCCTCTTCTAGCCTCTGTAAACATTGCACCACATGGATCCACTTACATACATGCAGGCAAAACACTCATACACTAAAAATAAAATTTTAAATTAATTTCTATTGTTTAAGCATGGAATCTGATATTTTTACATTTTTTACATTTATTTATTATGCATGTGAGCATGTGGAGGTCAGAATGTTATAGGACAGAGTTCGTAAAAAGATCACCAGCACCACTTTAAGGAAAGTAGCAAGGTAAATTTTAATTTTCGACCAGCCAGGCTGTCTATCTCGGGAGTAGAAGCAGCCCTGATGATTGTCAGGTCAGAGTTTTTATAGGATTACGGAATTATTATTAAAACAGGACATTTGTGAACCAATCAGGTTTGTACAACATAGCAGAATTTTGACTCTATTAATCAACAACCAATCATTATACAGACAAGTGATACAGTCATATAACTTGGCAATCAACTTTGTGACCTTAAAACTAGCCAACTGTTTTAGCCATAATAAGTATAATAAGACAGTCAAGGTAAATAACTTCTAGGTGGTCATACAATAACAGGATAACAAGGGTGGTCTTATGCCCTGTGTCAGGGCGACCCAAGACAGCAAGTGGGTTACAGAAGTGAAAACAAGCTGGTTAGTAAAAATGTATAATGTCTGGAACTAGCACATTCCATGATTCATGGCGAGGGTAATTTTCCAAGGCCCAAGGTTGCCCCCCTTTTCCTTTTGGTGTGGAGCAAAGTTGCTGCTGAAGTGGCTCTGAACAGAATGGAGTAACTTGGGGAAGTTTGCTGAGCCAGTTCAAGAGGACACTTTGCAGAATTTGGGTCCCTCCTATCTTGTGGAGTCTAGGGATCAAACTCAGGCCATCAGGTTTAACAGCACTATATATATTTCTGTCCCTATGTATCCCAGGCTAGTCTTGAACTCAAAGTAATCCTCCTGCTTCAAACTGCTGGGAGGCTGGGATTATACCCATGGACCACCATGCCTATCTTATTTTTTTTAATTATAAAAGATTTATCATCTCCTATAGCATACCTTTTGTCTCCTGCTATGTCTACATATTTTTTTAAACATTTAAAATTTTTGTGGAGGGGCAGGGGTGGATGTGTACATGCACGTAATGATGCCCTTGTGGAGGTCAGGGGACAACTTATGGGAGTCAATTCTCTCATTGCACTGTGTGGGAATCCAGGGATTGAACTCAGGTCATCAGGCTTGGCAGCAAGTCCCCCTTAGTCACTGAGCCTTCTTGTAGGCCCCTGCCTCTTTTACTCATTTGACATAGGAAATAGAATTTGTCAGGCTGTGATAATGGTGGAAAACTGAATTTACTGGTCTAAATTGTACATCAAGCCCAGGGTTTGGAGGTCTTATTCAAGACCTTGCCAGCTTTATTTTATTTGAATTTTTGGTCTTTTTGAGACAGGGTCTCCCTGTAGCCCCACATGACCTGGAACTCACTATGTAGAGCGAGCTGGCCTCAATCTCAAATTCACCTGCCTCTGCCTCCTGAGTGCTGAGGTTAAAGGTGTGTACCATCATACCTACCTGTTGGGGAACCCTGCTGTTAAGATTGGCTCCTTTCTCAGCAGGGGCTTCCTGCCTGACTTTACCTGGAAAGTGCCACCAAGTATGGATGCCTGACCTTATTTGGAACATGACCCTTGGCATAGTTACCTGGAGTAAAAACTACCCCCAGGTTTTTTCTATATGATAATCAGGCATTGCCCTATATTCGGATGATAGGAGCCTACTGCCACATGTAAATAAAGTATACTATGAGCATCTATCAGCTGCAGCATTGGCTACTGCCTCCACACTATATTTTCCCTAACCCCCACTGAATAAACGGAGCTGTTTCACTGAGTCTGGAGCTGTTTGTATCACTGAACCTGCCTCCCCAGAAGGGCTTTCTTCCATCAGTGCTCACTGGCCGACCTGACCCTGTTCGTCACTTCTGCTCCCTTTGTCCTCGTGGAACGCTGGCCAATGACACATGAGGAGAGGGAACGACCCCACACCTACCCTGAAGATTTGTTTCTAAAACACAATGTGAAACACATTTATTTGACATAGATAACAGTTTGAACATTTATACATGCCAAGTGCTAGATAATGCAAACCTTATTTCCCAGCAACCCTGTTATTCCCATTTCAGAGATAAGAAAACACAGTGTGTCTAGTGATGCTGATGGTCACTGGTGGAGCTGGGATCTAAGCAGGCTGACCTAGAGTCTGCATGTGAGACTTATCCTACACACCCTGGTTACAGAAATATGTAAATAAGGGCTTATCCCTTCTGATTTCACACCAATGGGCTATAACTATAAAATGATACAAATACTTCCCACCCCAGAACTCCCAAGATAAATGGGAGCTGCTTTTCAGAAGGCAGTGGCCCAGTTCCAACCTCCTTGTTCTGCCATTTAGCCTTTTGAGATTTTCCTTTGGAAATGGTTTCAAATTCAAGTCATGAAGTCACATGGATTGAGTACCTGCTGAGCTCCAGAAGTTTGCGTCTATGATCTAATTTAATCCTGCCAAACCTGTGATGTGTTTTTAGCCTGTCAGAGATAAGAAAATTGAGTAACAGAGAGAAGTCAGGGAAGTGGAGGAGCCAGTGTTGGTTGGTATTAGGCTCAACCCAACAGCAATATCCCTGTGTGGCAGACCTGCCACTTGCACTTTAAAACACATTTCCTTTTTTTCTTTGCTAGCAGATCTCCTGATTTTATCTATTCAAGTGGCTGCAGAGGAAAAACCCTGTATTTTTTAGTCTCCCTTACAATGGGTAAGTGTGGTGGTTACTATGTGATGCCATATTACCCTGATGCTTGAATAAAGACAGCCTGACTCTCAGCATCCATTTCAGCCAAGAGAGACCAGAACTGTTCTGAGAACCTGTTCCTTCAGAATTTTTTCAGAACTGTGCTTGCAAACACTGGCTCCCTCTTTCTTTTATTGAAACGGTATCTCCAACATGAAATGGGGAAATAAAAATGGACCCTTATCAGAGGGTTTTGTCCTAACTGACTTAGAATAGCACATACATACAACCACAAGCAGATGTTATCAACTTCTCACATTGCTTTCAATGAGATAAGCACTGTCTTGATAAAATACATACTCATACATTCATAGATTATTCTGGGTCAAGGGCAGGGAAGGGTCAGGAGGGATTAAGGCCATATGCCCAGGTCACAAAAGGAGCACCTGACTCAGTGAGCTTGTCTGCATTATATCTTTAAATTTTTATTTTATGTGTATGAGTGTATTGCCTGCATGTATGTAAGTGCACTCATGTCGTGCAGTGCCCACGGTTGTCAAAAAAGCATGTCAGATTCCCTGGAACTGGAATTACAGATGGTTGTTAGCCACCATGTGGAATCGAACCTGGGTTCTCTACAAGAGGAGCCAATGCTCTTAACCACTGAGCCATCTTTCCAGCCCCTTGTCTGCATTATAAACAAGTAAAAAAGTTAAGATAAGATTAACTTTTTGGTTAGGTAAAAGTCATGTCCAGAGCATGTCTATATTATAAAAGTCATGTTTCTTTTCTTCTTTTCTTTTTTTTTTTTTCTTGTTTGTTTATTAAAACAAAGCTACATTTCTGTGCTTTCCACAATACATTCTCATTAGGCATAAAAATCACTCAACATTTCCAAGGAAGTTTCACTCACAAAATCACACAGTGCTATTTTACAATAGTAACACTTTTTTACAACAATCTAATGTTACTTTTTACAATGGGCAAATATTTTAACACCTCTCGTGAAGACAAATTAGCCCGTTAGCTGTGGAAGTGAGATCAAGAGTCTTTTCTGAATCAATCAGTAGTTTGTACTAAACTAAAATGCCGGAAAGACATGTTCCTTATACAAACCTTACTAGTTATCTGTTGCCTGGAGTTTCCAGTTTGCTTCCTTAAAGGGAATCAACTCATGCATGCCTAAAGCAATTGGAGTACAGAATTAGTCTAGAATCTTAGGGTGTTCTGCCATTTTGTAGAAACTTCCTTTCTTGTATCTAATTCAACGGCAGCTTTAAAAGCGGCTAATCTTGGGGGTGGAAGTGTAACCAGTGGTTGAGTGCTTGCCTGGCACATGCCACATCGTGTACTCAATCCCCCAGCACTGCCAACAAAACAATGAAGAGCTGGCTCAGTGGTCAAGAGCACGTACCACTCTTGAGGATATGAGCTCAAATCTCAGCGCCTACATCAGGTGGCTCACGACTGCCTTTAACTCCAGCTCCAGGGGGATCTTATTATGCCTCTGGCCTCTGAGGGCACCAGCACTCACATGCACATACTTACACACCACACACACACAACTTAAAATAATAAAACAAAAAACAAACAAAAAAGTGACAACCTGAATTAAGTCCTTTAAGGATCCAATTCAGTTTTTGTAGAAACAGTGCTTCTTTCCACACTTAGTTTTTTGGTTTACATATTGTACTAAAATACTGCATACTCTGGTAAGTCAGATCATGTGGGAGTGAGGCTGCCTCAGTTTGAACCCTACCTTTGGGTACTGAGGTGATTGGTAAGCTACCTGTTAATGGGTGCTGAGAACCAAACTCAGGTCTTCTGCAAGAGGTTAACATGCTGTTAACTGCTAAGCCGTCTCTTCCAGTCTGTTTTTGTTTTTCATTGTTTGTCTATTTGTCTGTTTTTGTATTTTGGAGACAGGGTCTCCCTGTAGCTCCAACTGGCCTGGAACTCACTATGTAGAGCAGGCTGGCCTCAATCTCATAGTGATCTGCCTGCCTCTGCTTCCAGAGTGATGGAATTAGAGGCATACACCACCATGCCCAGCTGTTTTGTTGTGTTTTTGAGACAAAGTCTTGCTAGGTAGCCCAGGCTGACCTTGGATTGGTGATCCTCCTGCCCCCTCCTGAGTGTTGGGATTACAGGCCTACACAATCATGCCTGGTCCCTTCTTTTCCCCATCTATGAAAGGGAAGAGTAACACTGCTTCAGGAGCTGGTTGTGAAAAGGCACCTATAAGATGCTTAGGATGTGGGGCATGTGCTTCCTGCCATCATCGTTGCTTTGACCTCTGATGTCGTTCTACAGGTTACAGTGATTGGAGCATTTTTTTCATGGATGAAGCAAAGTCATGCATTGGTTACAGTGTCTTCTGTCATATGGAATTCCTGTTTTCCATATGAGAAAAGGAGGTATGGAGAAGTCAGTGGTTCCAAAGCCACCTGAGCAAGAAGTCATCGTTGCAGTCATGAAGTCCTGATCCAGAAAGACAAGGAGCCTTGTTCACCATCCATTTTCCGTTTTTCTTTTGCCTACTGAGTTAAAACCCCAAAGAGGAGCAGGGAGAATCTCCTGATGCTGAGCCTGCAGAGCCCTGGTCTCCCTGCCAAGGAAACTACTCACTGCTGTGCACCATGTCCACACAAGGCTGAAAAGGCTTGTCCCCAAAGGCCCCTGAAGTGTGTATCTTGGTAAGTTTCTGCAGAGGTGAGGACTGTGGCCAGCAGATACAGGTCACATGACTATGCAGAAGCCAGACTGGGTGAGTATCTTCTGGGGTTTCCTGCTGAGGGCTTCCCTAAGTCCCTGTGGATGACCTGAGGGGGGCCAGGAGGACCCTCAGTGGGGTGACTGGGAAAGCACAGGAGGCTGTCTTTCTGGTTCTAGATTCCTATCTCTACTTTCTTTAGACTTCTGCCTTTCTCTGAGGCCTGCATTCAGACCATGTAGGAAGCAGAGGATACTCTGGGCAGGCCTCCATAGCCAGACAAAAGTGGTCCAGGTTACTGAAAGCTAACACAGGTGCAGGACCCTGTAGCCAAAGTACCAGCTTTTCACTCAACCCTAACAGTGGCCATGCTCAGTTAAAATCACCATAAGCGACCTCTTCTATGTCCTCCATCTACTCCCCAGGCCTTTTTCCCCTCTCCCAGGACTCACCTATTGTCTTGGAGACCATTGGCTATGGGGATGACAGGGCAGTCCATTCTGGGGAGATGTACACCTCCAGATGGAAGATGGACTGTGGCTCCTAGGCCTGGATGGAGAGGATCAGACACATGCACCTAGGCCTCTCCATAAACAGGGCATCAGTGGGAAGGAAGAAGCTTTGGGGAGAAGAATAAGTATAGTAGATGTCCAGGGAGGTATTGGTTACTTCATAGAGGGTGCCTTGTACTTCAAGGTGCTAGGTAAACATAGGGCAGATGCTTGGTAAACATTTGTCAATGTTATGATTCATCATGTCTGGAAGGAAACACTGAAAAGAACACATCAATAAATTCAAGAGAGAGTTCCACCTGTAGGAGGTGGGGCACAGCCATTAGCCTCCTGCTCCCTGAGCTAGAAGGCTTTGAGGGACAGCCTACTAAAAGTGAAGCCCAGTACAGTGCCTCACACAGAGTGTGGTCTCCATATACCTTTGTGGTCCAAGATGCTAAGTTTTAGCTGCTAGGAAAGGAAAGCCTTAGGAACAGGAAGGAAGACATATCCGGAAAGGGCTTGGGAGAAATGGGCCAGGTCCTTGAGAGGCAACCAGAGATGAGAGAGGGCTGTTGCAGGGGTTAGCAACCTGAGAAGCTGGAGACAGGTGGCACAGTGCAGACCCTGGGTGGGAGGACCAGGAAGGTGAGAGAGAGTTCCACCTGTAGGAGGTGGGGCACAGCCATTAGCCTCCTGCCACACATGCTCCAGTCTCTGAGGTGCTGACACACAGAGGTCATGTTCACCATCCCCTCCATCTCCTTCTCTTCATGGCTCTCTTCAGAATCCTCATCTTCCCATCTACTGAAAAGTCTATAGGGACAAGGGACTGGGTGTGACTAGGCTGTGGGACACCCCAGGCTGGTCAGCTACTTTCTGGCAGCACTCCCTCTTTCACCTCACCAGACCCACTTGACTCACCTGTTCTAGGCATTTTCTGTGTTGTTTTGTACCCTGGCTGAGGTCCTTGCCACCAGGGAGGCCTTCTTTGAAGCCTGGAATCTTCTACGTGCTGGAACAGAGGACTGAGAATGTAGGTGAGTGGAGTGGATTGTTGGAAAAACGGCCATGGTGCTATCACACTGTCTTGTATGAGTCTATGCTCCTTTCAGCTGCTCTCAGGGAGCCACAGTGGCCTCATACAGAGACGGCCCGGGGGCTTCTGAGAATCCAATTCAGAAATGAGACCCTTTGCTCTGAAACTCTTAGATTAGAACTTGGGCTTGTAGACCCAGGCAGAATCTGACCATCACCCTGTCCTGCCTACAACCTCTCCTGGCACCATCAGAGTTAGTAAGAACCTTTGACTAGAACCTTAACTGGGACCTGGGTCTTCTGACCTTTAATCCAGGCCCCTGCCTTTACCAGGCTAATTTTTCCTTTAGTTCTGGGGACAAAACCCAGGACCTTAGACATGCTGGACAAGCATTCTACCACTGAACTACACCTCCTGCTACAGGTTAATTTTGCTTGCAGATTATAAATATAGTTGTCCTGCTCTTTAAAAGAGGCCATACAACCCATTAAATCCCTATAATAAAGCATAATTTTCCATTCTTGGGATGAGGGGAGGTTTTCTAAGGAGGGAGGCAGTTGGAGAGCTGGAGAGAGACTGGAGGCAGAATGAGTTGGAGGCAGAGCCAAGGGGAACCAAGAGAGGGCTCACAACCAGATGACTCCTGGGGCTTCCATGGAGCAGCACCTCCATCCTGTGGCCATTTAGGGAACTGCAACCAAGGACCCACTCTTCTGTCTTCACAGATCTAGTTTAGGGCCTTGGCCTTCAAAGGACTCAGCCAAAGTCTTTCAGCCCTAGTGCTGAAGTTATGCCACAGTTTCAGCCCACCTCCCTGCCTCTCTGAACCTGATATACACGCACCCTTCGTGTAAACCCAGGGGCAGACATATGAGCAGCAAAGTGTGGCACCCCTAAAGACAATCAGCCCTGCTGACAGCCACTCCCTTTTCTGGGTAATCTGTCTCCACTCTTAATCTCAGATGTCATCTTACTAGAGTATGAGCCTGGACTAGTCCCTCCTGGGCCAAGTGGGTACACATGGCATCTTCCAGCTTGGCCACCAACTGCTCTCACACAGAACCTGGCTCCTGCTGGGGAAAGGGGGACAGTGGGGGAGAGGAACAAAAAGAAGAGGAGGGGAAGGAGTTCTACTTCCCTCTCTTTGTGACCCCCACACCCACCCCACCCATGCTTTTCCCAGTGTCCTGCTACTGGGCCCATAACTGTGGACAGAGACTGCCTCTTCCTCCCAATAATATCCCAGGACCTGGTACAATATGTCTAGTCAGTATACGCTTATAGTGAGTGAGTTGAATTCAGGGTGGGGACAAGGAGCAAGGGCAGCTATGTCAGCTGGAGAAGGGACAGGCAGAAAGAGGCAGTCACGGAGTGTCTCACCTGACATTGGGCCAGTTCTTCCTTATAGTACTTCAAGGCCTGGTCGTACTGCCCCAGTCTGGCTGAAGCAGCCCCAAGGCCCTCACAGGCCTGCCACTGTCCCTTCAAGTCTCCTGAGGAAGAGAGCCTGAAAGGTCCTCTCATGTTCTCCATCTCAGGGACCCTCCCCACCAGCACCATGCACTTTCAGTCTTTGAAGTCCCCACCCAAGTCTCATGCTAGCTCCCTCACTCTGACCTGTGTCTTGGGCAGCCTGCAGGGCATGCAGATAGCTGTCCCAGGTGGTGCTGTGGTCCCCCAGCTGACTCAGGGCAAATGCCAGGCTGCCAATGCTCCAACCTTGCTCTACCACTGCCCCACAGAGCCTGATAGTAGAGCACACCATTAGGATAGGGACTCAAGTTTACTGGGGCATCAGGACCCTGCCCCTGGCAAGCAAGGGAGGGTCTCAGGAATCCCAGTGCCTAGCCTTGGTGCCTTAGGTGAATCGCAAAGGACAGTTTGAACTATCCAAGCTGAGCCTCTGTCATCCAGAGTTTTGACCCAAATGCCTTCCTGGCCAGTCTGAGCCAGTCAACATTAGGTTAAAAACACACGCGCGCACACACACACACACACACACACACACACACACACACACTACACTACACACACACTTTTTAAAGTTTTTAATTTTTTAAAAAAAATTTATGTATGAGTGTTTTGCTTGCATGTATATAAGTATACCACATCCAGGCAATGCCTATGGAGGCTGGAAGAGGTTGTCAGAACCCCTGGAACTGGAGTTAAGGATGTGTATTAGCCACATTGTGGGTGCTGGGAACTGAATCTGGGGACTCTGCAAGAGCAGCCAGTGCTCTTAACCACTAAGCCATCTTTTCTGTTTCTGTTTGTTTTTGAGTGCAGGTCTTTCTATATTGAAAAAGACTAGGCGCCATGAATACTCATGAGCCCACATGTTTAAAATTGACAAAAACCAGGACCAGCCTTATCAAAAGGCTGCAAGACGGGCAGGCGCCGGTCAAGCTTCACAGATCAAGCCATAAACAAGTTTTACGGGTAGAACTCCTGACCACCCTGAGGGCCCGATACCAGGAAATCAAGGGAAAAACACCTGTGCCTCTGAGGTCACCTCCCATTTAGCAATCCCACTTCCCCTTAGCCCCGGCCCTTACCCCATATCTCTGCATACTTTTGAAATTATTGTGTGTGTGTTTGAATTAACCAATAACTGCTCTTCTGCTTCTGTACCCTGCTTCTGCTCTATAAAAACTGCCAAACCCCAACCTGGGGTGTGCAAGTCCTCCGAGGAGACTCTGTGCCCACAGGTACCTGTGTATCAAATAAACCTCTTGCTGTTGCAACCCGAAAGGCTGACTTGTCCTCAGTGGTCTCACTCTTACACAACTCCAGTCCCTTCGGGGAGGTGAGTTGGCCGGCCAACCTCAGTGTTGTCTCTGTGTCTTGCGTTGTCTGTCTTTTGTCTGTCTTGTTTGATCCTGTTAGGCAGCTTCTGTAGAATTTGGAATCTGAGATCTCGTCTGTACTTTTGGACAGTGCAAGAGCAAGACGACGGTCTTTGAGCTTTGCCTGTCGGCCTGGGGGACGCCCCAGGGTCTGTGAGAACCACATCCGTAGGACTTTTTGTTCATTTGTATTCGTGAATCTCGTCCGGGCAAGGGACGCGGAATCCCCTTGTCGGACGTCTGGACAAGGGACGTGGAACCCCCTCGTCACCTGACCGAGCTGCACATCTGAGTAAATTGTTTTTCTGTGTGTATTCTGTGTATTTGTGTTGGTCGCGACCGCATCCCAATGGTCTGGGGTGCCCGGTATTTTGGAGCTCAATATACATCTGAAGGATACGTATCCCTGAGACGCAGAGCACCAACCCCGCCGTCTGATTTTATACTTTCACTTTTTCTCCAGAGTCACGCTAAGCGATACCTTGCCGCCGGCTGTCTGTTTTTATTGTCTCTGCTGTTTGTTTGTCTCTTTATAATTCTAGAAAGTCCTAAAATGGGACAACAACTAACTACCCCTTTGAGTCTGACCTTAGATCACTGGAAAGAAGTCAAGAGCCGAGCCCACAACCAATCAGTGGAAATCAAGAAGAATCGATGGATAACCTTTTGTTCCTCCGAGTGGCCCACATTTAATGTCGGTTGGCCTCGGGATGGAACTTTTGATTCTGATGTTATTTTGCAGGTTAAAGCTAAGATCTTCTCTCCCTCCCTATCACCCCCCTCCGCAGGCTGCTGCGGCGGTTCCAGATGACGTCCAAGCAGAGGGACCGGAGGTCGCTCCCTCTCCCATTGCGGGTCGACTCAGAGAGAGGAGAGGACAGGGAGATTCCTCACACATCCTGCCCCTCCGACTCGCAGGAGGGGAAGGAAACCAGTTTCAGTATTGGCCCTTCTCCGCTTCAGACCTGTATAACTGGAAAACTCATAACCCGTCCTTCTCCCAAGACCCTGTGGCCCTAACTAACCTCCTAGAGTCTATTCTTCTAACCCACCAGCCCACCTGGGATGATTGCCAGCAGCTTCTCCAAGTTCTCCTCACGACAGAAGAAAAACAGAGGGTTATTCTGGAAGCCCGCAAGCAGGTTCCTGGGGCGGATGGGAGACCTACCCAGCTGCCCAACGAGATAGAAGCTGCCTTTCCCTTGACCAGACCAGATTGGGACTTCAA